AGAGACCCAGTCCACGCAACTTGAACTTTAAGAATCCGCCGAGAAAATACTCTCCCTCTTCCATCGCGCTGCAACCCGGAAATTATCACTGCACTGATATAACGCAGAATGAATTAATTTTTGAATCCCCGCATGGAAGAGAAATATCCTTACAGGACCAAAGCATTGCTTTGCTTTCAATCAGAACGAATCAGGGTAGTTATTCAGTCCTGGAGCCCCAAAAACCTTGGTGAGCCATGACTTCAGGAAAAGGAAAAAGGAATATGCGATGCATGAAAGACAGGAGATTGTGAAATCGGGCGGCTAGGGCCAAGGATACGTCGGGGAGCAAGAACAAGAACAAGAAGAAGAATTGATAGGCATAGACGGTTTCCAGTCTTGACACCCCTCCAGGCTTAGCTTTTTGTAAAAACGCGGTATAGGTTGAAGGAGCGGTTCTGGATTTTTCTTTCTTGGTTAAGCTTGGTTGGTGTTTTTCCGTCAAAGAAAAAAAGATTGGGACATCTCAGACCGGGGACCCGAAGGCCGTTGACAGAACTGGTGCCGCTCTGGCACATCATATGGGTGCAGAAGAGCGACACCAATCTTGTCAACGGGTCTCGGCTTCTTGTCCGCTCTCTAAGCTCCAACCTATCTCCCTAAGAACTTCTCGTACCATCTCGGTTCCTTGGGTCTATTCTTTCCCCACCCTCCTCCTGAATGAAGGTTTGGCTCATGCTCGCGTCTCCAGAACAACCCGCCCAGGAACCCAGAGGCATATCCACCCAGGTGTGCCACATAATCTGTGCCGCGCCTTCTCATCGACGGCACAGTCATACACAGGATCTCAAGAGCGACCACGAAGAATAGGAATGAACTGGCCTCGCAAGAAACCCATCGTGCCAGATCCTCAGGTAGCAGCCAGATCGTAATTCGTGAACTAGCAGAGAGATGCCGTCAGCGTCAAAACAAGGTGTAGTGTAAACTACTCACCTGGGATTGATAGTGCAATAGGCTGCGAACACTCCTGCAACGGCCCCGGAAGCCCCTAGGGAACTGGAGATCAAGACATTCCGGAGAACCATGTTGCTCAGACTTAGCACGCTGCCAACGACGCCGCTGGATAGGTACATGGCGAGGAAGTAACCTCTTCCAACATCCTCATGGAGGCTTATTCCTACTAGCCAGAGCACAACGGCATTCCAGAGCAGATGCGTAAAGCTTTGATGGCTGAAGGTATTTCCCAGGTTCGAGAAGACTGTCACGACACCTGGTGTGCTGATGAAGTATCTGTTTAGCATCCGCCACGCAGGTGGAAAGCGCCATAATGCAAGGATGACAAGATTCGCGGCCATGATGCCGAATATTGTAGCTTCGGCAAGCGGCAGGGATGGTAAAAGCCGGTGAGAGCGATCAGGAGGTGTCCAGGTTAATGCAAAGAGGTAAGATGCACAAGTGACAGTGGCTGCAAAGAGAATTGACGGAAGAAGACGCCGAATCTGGTTGTCATTGAGCATGAGTGTAAACGTGGCGGTGGGTGATGCCGAAATGGACGCACCTTTCCTTTTTGCGAGGCTTCTTCAAATGTGATTTTAGAAGTGCCAGACAAGTAGTGCCTCATCTTCCACTTTTCATACAGGTTTGGAGGTCTTGAGCCCGTTGATACTGAATGTGGATGTCAGCAACGTATGCGTCTTCAAAAATAGTAAGCATCGCCATACCTTCTAGCCCGTCCTCTCTTCGAGTCTCCAGCGCACCAGCCTTTTCTTCGTGCGCTTGCTGTGTCTGCTCGATGAATTCATCTACCTCTTTCTGCTCCTGCTCCGCCTTCAACTCATTCTCCTTCCTCAATTTTTCCAGCTCGCTCTCCCCAAATATGTCACCCTCTTCTCCGAGCTTGGCTCCATACAACCCACTTTGTGGCTTGTATAGACCCAGATTCTCTGCGCGGTTTATCAAGACTTCATCGCCTTCGCCAGCCTCTTCCCGCTCTATCCGCCTAAGAATAGCTGCATCTTCGTCGACTGGGTATTCCAGGCGAAGCCATCGAAGGGCGTCATCGACCGCGCTGGGATATGCTTTCAATTGAGAGGCGAGTTTGGATGGAAGGTCAAGATCAAGCGTGCCATTCACGCGGCGAGAGTGGAGGACTTTAAGAAGCGTGTTGGCGAGTTGAGGAGGAGGAGCATCAGGACCGAAGACAACCTTGATTTCATAAGGTCGGAGGTCGGATCGCCGGAATGCGAGCTCGGACGGTGCTCGGGATGGAATTTGTTGTTGACTTCTCGAACTCTGGTGAAGTCGTAATGGTGCTGCAGTGGAGAATGGTCTAAGAGAACCGGGCGAGCGGTTCTGCCTCAGCGACCTGCAGATGGGCCCTGTGATTGAGAGAAAAGCATCGCTCTTGCGAACTGCGTGCTGTTGGGATCTTACAAGCACAGAAAAGATTTGTCGGAGACCAAAGATATCTGTAGTCTTCGTCCTGTTACTTCTGACACAGCCTCTTGCAGGTCGCCATGCTATCATACAAACAGGGTGCATGTCCCCTCGTTGCGGGTGCCGTCCGCCTTCATGCACAGGAAGTGGAATGAGGATCACTGATAGCCAAATCTTCGGCCAAGAGCGTCATCGTTGACGAGCGGAACATTCCGCTACAGCCACTCTGTTATGCATTTATTCAACTAGTTATTCAATTATTCATTGATTCATCCATCGATTCATCGATTCATTGTTGGGCGTTAGCAAGGGCCACAGAAGGGTAGTTGACCAGGAGAACTGTCAAATTCACCATATACACCATGATCTCATTACTATCCTACTCCTTAAATTCAAAGCCATCTGGAGCGCAATCCCCTATGGCATTGAAATACCAGCCGTGAGCTTCTATACTCGAAGGGAATGTCCCTTGATTGCCAGCATTCCAAGGATTGCCTTGAATTACATCAATGTCCCTTGAGGTGACCGGCACGTTATTGCCTGACTTGATGAAGTACTCCGGGCTGACATGGCTGTAACCGAATATGCGACTCGGTAATTTAGGGACAATATCGTTGGTGTGTGTGACGCGATAATTGCCTCCTGGTTGGTTGCTGATATAGTTGGCGGTGACTTCTGTTCCTACTTGAGGAGCTCCGTAGGTATACTGAGATCTTGTCAGCGCACATCACCGGCGCATCAAGCCGATTTTCATACCAAAGCGACATTATAGCCGCTATTTCGCAGATTGGCTGCGGCAAGCGTAGCGATGGCACCACCGAGACTGTGACCGGTAGACACAATACCATATCCGGGGTTCTGTGCTACAGCGTATTCTACGGCTGTCAAGATCCGCGGCCTGGCCTCTACCCATGACCTCCAGAATCCCTGATGGACTCTGCAATCAGAGCAGATGTCGCTTGGGATGGCAGTGAAATCAAGATTGTTGAGCCAATTGCGGGCCGACTGGCTGCCACGGAAGTTGACCACAACCTTTCGATTGGTCGAGTCAACCGCTACCAAGCCTGTTACATCGGTAAGGAGGGAGCTAATGACGGTCAGCTGTCTGCAACCTGGCACGTAAAGTACGAAATCTTACTTCTGGAACTCAATCAACGTGGTTGTGGTTGCTGCTTCTACAAGAGGACAGTTTCCGGCGGCACAGGTGACCTTGGTTCCAGGAGAATCATTATTCGTGACACAGTACGCTGCGGCTGCGTACTGTTCCCATAGGTTCAACTGGCCGAGCACGTCTGCCGATACGTCTAAAGATGTTGTCAGGAAGTGTGTAGGAGGAAGATTTTCATCCATGCTCACCTCTTGCCTCTAAGCTTGTAGGTGCGGCATAGATAGAGACGATCAAGCAGCAGAGCACAGAGATGACCTGTAGCATGGTGGGCAACTGCAAATATGGCAAGGGATGCAGGAAGGAAGACCACGAAATCACGGCTGAAGTGGAACAGACCCGGGAGATTCAATTCTTAACGACAGACTGGAAGGCTCTTCCTTTCCTCCACCCAGACATCGGAATGGACTTTTATTTGAGGGTTCGTGAATAACCTCGGCCATGGCTTGTAGCGGCTCGTTGGTATTCAGAATCGACAACCCCGTATTCTGGGCAAGGCTAAGTTGTTCCAGATCGGCGGGCCAAGGTATTGATAGGCGTCGACTTGACTGAAAATCAATGCACGAACGGGCATTATATCTGAATGCAGTAAACGCGATGCCAACCGGATGTGTTGTTTGTGCGACATGATTGGAAGAGGAAGAAATCCAAGCAAAATTCCGCCTCGTCTATTCATGGCACTCAACTATTGCGCGTGACTTGGTAGCTGAAACTGGTGATGACTCCACTTCCAGGGGGCGAAGCCAAGAGACAGCCCCAGAATTGACAACGCCAGAGACAACAAACTCAAGCTGAACGGAAACCTCGAATGGACCAATCAGCGCTTATCTAACCTAAGCAGAGTGATAATGTGATTCAAGAAACGGCGAATTATGCAAGGCCGTTCTTCGCTTAGATTTCAAATGGGTCGCAAAATGCAATGTGTGTAACTGATAGCCCTTCGGACCGAAGCGAAGCTTTTTGGAGACCACCCAACTTCCAGGACCCGAGACATCCATGGGTTTGTTATTATATCTTATTGGTTGAAAGGGTACCTGCGTGCTCTCGTAATTTTAACGCCTCTATGCAGCTTGGCCGCATTGTCGATCCAAATTGCGCCACTGCATTCACGCCTCTGAACCGTTCTTCGTACGACCTAGAATGATTCCTATCTGGGTGATGTCTCATAAGTTGTTGCTTGCTGGGCAACGCTGAGAAGGACTGGTTCACATAACTTTGCTGGCGTGAATTGTAACTAGCAAGCGACTACGGACGGATTGTCAAATATTCCTTCATTTCTCCTTGTCGAGGCCGAGGTCCTTTTGCTCGTTGATCACGCTTAACAGCCCCTTACCTGTTAATGCACTTCTGATATTGTCAATGACCCAACATTCCATCTTCGCTTGTGTTTCGCTCGTCCAGGTACCCATGTGCGGGAGGAGCACCACTTTGTCATTCCTAACAAGCCCTGGGTGGACCTTTGGCTCTTCCTCATAGACATCCAGACCTGCACCGGCGATTACTCCTTGATCGAGCGCATCCACCAGAGCTGCCTCGTCTAATACCGGCCCTCTGGCAGTGTTCACAATGACGGCACTGGGCTTCATACGTCGGAGTTGTTCTGTCGAGATAATGTGCCGTGTTTTGTTATTCAAAGGCAGGTTCAAGCTTAGGACGTCGCTCGTCTTCAGTAGCTCCTCAAAACTGACATACTTTGCACCACCGGCCATTTCTGAAGCCAGCTCTCTTCTGTTGTGGTAAATAATGTTCATTCCGAAAGCCTCTGCTTTTCGCTTCATGTTGCGGCCGATGCCCCCCATGCCAAGGATTCCGAGGGTCTTGCCTTCAGGATCATGACCGAGAGCTGGTGAAGGGTTGCCCTTGAAGTCGCCTCGACGGAGGGCCGCCATGGATGTGTTAAAGTTACGCAGGGCACCGAGCATAAGAAAGATGGCGGTGTCGGCGGTGGCATCATCCGGGGCGGCTGGTGTGTTTGAGACGAACAGTGGCGGATCTCGGTTTGAGCATGTATCTGGTTTAATCTGGTCATATCCAGCTCCTGTAGCCTGGTAAGATATTGTGCGAAGCATGCACCAGGGATCACGATAAGATCTTTCTCTTCTTGTTATGCAGTCACCAAGTAATCGCAGATACACGCACCGTTATGACAAAGGTACTTCCATGTTTTTGGCAACACGCTGACAAGCTCCTCGTCAATCAGTCCAGTAATACGGACTGAGTCGAGAGTGCGATATGCTGCAACGACCCCGTCTAGTTTCCCACTCTTGCATTCTTCGATGAATTCTCTTCGATTGGTAGACTGTGACTTGATAAGGTCTCCAATCTCACTCAACGCTTCCCACTGCTTGTGTGCGCTGCAACATGGTCAGCTGATAGTGAGAATAGTTGCTCTGGTACATACTTACTGGTCGATCTCGCCCAGGAGGAGGATTTTAGGCCTGGCAGACATACTGACACCTAGTTGTGCAATGTCGTTGATCGGTTCCCAACGAAAACAAAGTGAGAAAAAGTGACTTGGTGTTACGAAGATCGAAGTCGACGTGGGAGTCCTTTGGTCGGTATCCTGGAAAACAGCGACAATGGCAGAGAATTGTCCTGAACAACTTGAAGTAAAGAGGAATTCTTTCTTGATGTGTGCTCGACCAATCACAACCCCTCCGCACTTCCTTCCGCTCGGCAGCTCATGGATCAGTCACACGCTAACCACTTAAGGCCAAACCACCACCTGTCATCGATTTGTTGCTCTGAGATTCCAGAGTCATGTTCATTGTTTGCCACGTCTGGAAGAGTACCGCTAGTGTAAAGAGGTGTCAGTGAGGTGTCAGTGAGGTGGTTGTGCTGGGTTTAGCGGGAAGGGGCAGGGAGGCGAATCTCTTCTTCAGCTTTGTTGTAAGAGCCTTGGAGTAAGACCATGATGCCTTGAGCGAGGGCACGGACAGGGCGGACGGGAAATAAGACCAATACGAACTGAGGAGTAATTGTTCGAGGCAGGAAAGTGACCAAAAGATTGTAGAAGGCAAGGCCAAGGGTCGACGAAGCTGTGATAGACAGGATAGGAGGATAGAAGAAAAGTCAATTATACAGAGCAAGAACGAAGTAGTCGATCCCGCTCTTTCTCGTTCAACCCGGCACTCAACCCGCTCTATCCAAAGGCTGCATGTGTACCTGCAACCCCACCGAGTCCCGAGCCAAACCCAGCAAGGGGACGGTGTATTATCTTGCCACTTGTCATCGCTCAAACGGTATCATTAATGCTTAGCAATCAAAACAAGTCTTTCAAAATCAAACGTCCAACATCATACAATATACCAGCCGACTTCCGGCCATAGTCAATGCTCTCGTGGTCCATTGGCTATTCAAATACCTTCAGTCGTCAAACTGATCAGAAAACACCCTCCTTCCCCTCCCCTCCCTCGTCACCCTCGCCCAGTCCTCCCACTCTCTTGCAATCTCTGTCAATACTTCCGCCATGATGTTCGCGCTGGCCATCAGACTATGACCTTCACCTTGCAAGATTCTGACCTCGCACCGCCTCATCCTTTTTGCCAACCATTTGACATTCTCGACTGGCACCCTCGAATCCCTGCTGCCGTGATGCAAGACGCACGCGCGGGTGATGTCGACGTAACGAAATCCGATTGTTTTAGTCCGCTCGAGACAGACGAGGAGGTCGACAGCGGGGTTGGCGTTGCGTTGGGCAAGATCCCAAATACGTTGGGTAAGGTGGGTATCGTAGGCGTATTGGCGGGCGCGGATCAGGTTTTCGTCTAGATTAGTTATAGACAGACGTGAAGCAGCGTCTTCTCTGACGCCCCTAGATTGCGGTCGAAAAGATGTGCTAGTGAGGTCGGTCATGCTCCCATTTGCGCTGTGGGATGCTTGCAGACCCGAGTACTTGTCATTGAACAGACCGTTCGAGGAAGCTGGACGGAGGTCAATGGTCCCGTTACCAAGGATTATGCTCTTGCGTTTCGATCGGCGCGGGGTTTTAGGAATTATACTCGAGGTCGTCGAAGACATGAAGGAGGAGTTTGCTGCTCGGAGAAAAGAAGCAGGGAGTACGCGGAGCAATTTCTGGGAATAAGGTATTGAGCTTGTCGGGACGGTATCTTTCTGTGATCCGATCGATGACATTTGAGAAGGCGGGATCCATGGCGCCATCAGATGTAATCTGCCACGAACTTGTTGCGGTAGACGTAATGCGGTGGCCAACGCATAGATGGCGCCAGCAGAATGAGCAAGGAGCGAGAACTTAATGATCGACAAGGCATTGCAAACGATGGAAACATCGTCCGGCCAACTCAGAGGCACCCCCGTACCACTCGAGTATTGCTCACTCTCTCCTACCCCGGGTCTATCAATTGTGATCAGTCGAAGTCTCAGTGTCCAAGCCAATTCATCATAAAATGCCATGATATATCTGGTCATGCCCATGCCGACGCAGCAGATGACAGGGAACCCAAGAGGGTCTCCCACTTCCGAGAAAGCTATGACTCGTCCAGTTTCTGGATGTCGGACTCGTTGTGTCAATCGCGCAGAGGCCAAATATGTCTCGACAGCATCGTCAATCGAGTCTGTGCTCCGAGGTCGTTCAATACCAAGAGATCCTCGTCCAGGAGAAAGTTGTGGATCGGACAGTGCTCTTTTGTGCATGACAGGCGTCACAGGTCTGCTTCCTAGCGAAGGCTGTACCTCGGGTATCGCTGATCCCGATCGAGGTCCGGGTACATAGGTTGCGGAGCATATCGGCTGTCCTGCAGAGACTTGTCTGCTAGCGTGCGTAAAAACAGCGGAAGCCAGATCACTATCGTCTTCAACGAGAACTGCTTGATCTGGGCCTCGCGGCATGATATCAGCCACGGAATGGCGTGAACTCTGGTCCAACGTCGTCCGTTGGGGGGGAGTTGGACCTGGCATCGAATTCCTTGATCTCTTCTTCTCTGCTCTCCGTTCCTCTCTTCTCTGCTCTCTCTCGCGCTTCTCCTTTTGCTTCTGAAGTTCTCGGATGCGTCTGACAGTTGAATCTTCCTCTTCCAACACATCTTGACCGGTTTTGAGATCTTTACTTTCATGACTATGCTTTAGCGATTTTGATGACTTTCTCTCTGGACTGGCGGATGTAGTGTGATGTAATGAAGAAAGCCGCGACGGAATAATCCTCCCGCTTCCTATGCCGCCGGGACGCTCTAGAGTCCACGAGCTACTCGGTGTCTGAGACTGGAGGATAGAAGGCCCAGCGTGCGAGGGTGACCAAGGAGAAACTGGTGAAGACTTCCGTTCCGAGATGCCTTCGTCAACCATCCCCTCTCTGAAGCTGCTGCGAGAGCCAGACTGCCGTAGACCATTTGCCAGCGGGTTTAGTGCTTCCCCACTATCCCGGATCGCTGGATCCGTTCGCTTTGGATTCTGTCCGTTAGGAACCACTTCCTTGGATATTTTCCGAACTATGAGTCTGGCAATGCTGCCACTTTTCGTTGACGTTCCATTTGCAGTCGGTGGTTGGAGTCCCGGCTCAGTGTTGAGTCGGCCAGTGCTTGCTGACTCGTCCTTGGAGCGCAGACTTTGTTGTGAACGTGAAGCGCTCAACGTTGGCGTACTACTTCTGCTGCGCGAAGGTGCTCGCTGCTTGGACATGCGTATAACCGGCGCGTAGGCGGTATTCGGTATGAGATATGATTCGTGGTCAGTCTCTCCAGGCTTTTTATAGGCTCCATAATCCACCCCGAATCCCTGTTGCGGCGGAGGACTTCGCGAAACGGCTCGCGCATGGACAACTGGATCCGCAGGCGTAGGTTTTGGAGAACTCCGATGGCTGGGAGTCACAGACGATGTATCGCTCTTCTTGCTTGCAATCCTAGGGAGTTTTTCGAAATGATGCTCAGCAGGAGTTGAGATGGCAGCTAGGGATGAGATTAAGGAGGAGATGACTTCAGGAGAAGGAGGCTGCGATTTTGTGCTTCTCGAGGAAGGAGAGGGTTCGGTCGCAGATTTGGCAGTGGACGGACGTGACCGACGGGAAGACTTGGGTGTCTGATGAGCTCGAGGAGGATTTGCAGGAGTGGAGGGGCGGCCCTCTTGCATTTTGGGATTTGTGTCTGATTGATTGAGACAGGCTGGTAGCAATCTCGGCTGGCAAGAAGGTGGTCGAGATCCCACGACTCCTCCGATTGCGTTTACAGCAGCATCATTGTGCGGACACAGTAACAGCATGCGCCGGGCCTATGTAGGGGGATTGCTTGATATTTCCTCTTCTGCCGCTTCGGTGACGATCAGCCTAGCCAAGGTTGAGTTGATGTTCAGGGGCCCTTTTGCCTGTGGGGAATCGTCCTCCACCAAGTCCTATCAAGTGGGGGCAGTCCTGGGCGATAACAGTAGCTGGCAGCTGACAGGCTGGTGAATGCGCATACGAAGTGGTTAAAATGAGATCAAATATGCAAATGAAAGTAAATGAGCAGGGATTGGGAAGATAGTTCACTAGCTGCAGCTCGAAATTCCTTCGGAACTGTTGGCGTCATCAGGGGCAGCACGTAAAGCACTCCCAGTCTACTCCGTACAATAGCACGGCTACGAACAACGTAGAAGACACGCATGGGCTTTAGAAGGGGAGCTTCCCCGGTTCTGGAGGCGCAAGGGCGAAGACGACTGTAACGAGGAACAAATCTGATTATTGCGCCCGTCTGGCGCGATCCACATCACGTGACTGTCCACAGATGCAGGGCTGCCGCGTTGTGAATCAACAACATCTATCGAGTAGTGAGTAAGCAGTTGTAGTCTCCGTGAGTGTGTGCATACTGTTCTGGTAACTCGTTTCAGCCCTATCCATGTCTTCCTCGTCGATTCGCAGAGGTCGTCCAGCGCAGTCGTTGTTGTGGCTCACTTTGCGTTAGCCCTGCTTTCAGTCTGGTAAATGCTGGACAGTTTCCCACATTGCTTCCACTCCACAGAGCCCGCTATCTTTCAAACCGAAGGGGTCGAACTGCCGCCAGAAATCGGGTGGGCCCCAAACACCCCCATACGCTAGGCACAAATCATCTAAGCGAAGATGATAACATCGATCTGGAGGTAGTTTGCCGAGCCTCGACATGTTAAGCACACATTCTCCCAAATCCCCTGGAGGCTGATGTCGTCGAATCCAATCGCCCTGATTTGTACGATTCAACAATTCCAGGAACCGCGCGCCCCCGTGCTCGAATAGAGAGATCTCCGTTCTTCTCCAGCCAACGTCGTTCTGTAGCCATGGTGCCGTGTCTCCAGTTGCTTCACCGAATTGCACCAAATAACGCATGCGCCTGATTGCACCTTTGCCGAATGTCAAAGCAAATCGTATATGGATCATATCCCACATCACGATCGATGTGAAGCGTAGAAGTGCGTGGAAGCCTCCCCGCAGCTGTCCAAGTCGTTCCATAGGAGATGTAGATTGCGAGATCATCTTGTACAGCAGCAATCCAACGTGAAGATACTCGTCCCATAGTGGTATGAACCAAACTGCCCTCCAGATTGCATGTTCATCTACCTGCGGAAGGTGTCTGATATCGTTGCAGCAATCGACGACCGCCCCAATCTCCGCTGCTTCATGGACAAGCCGCATAACCCCTTGAAAACTTGGAATACGCCCTCCAAACCCGAGCACTTTGTACGGCACACCAACCACTCGTGCTGCGATATCGTTGGACAAGGAACGTTCGTTCCGTTCAAGCAGCCCTCGAAAGTGTTTGCACGTTCCTGCAAGCGCCAAAGTGTCTGCCGGAAATCCCGCGTGGACAAAGATTTGAAGAATGATTTCATTTGGTAAGCCTCTGATGTTCTTCATGGCTGTTTCCACTTAGCAGATCCTTATTGCTGCTTCTGTCCAAAGATCAGGTATTCCAAGGATTATTTGTAAGGCACAACACTTACGACTTGACCTTGTTGTATGCTAGGAAAACTGGTTGAGTTCGAGTGCAAATAAAGAAAGTTTATTGTCTCGTGAGCTGGAGTTCGAAAGCAGAATTGACGGTTCAGCAAGACTCAGGTAAATTTTGGCCTTCAATAAGAGAATGTCAATAAAGGCGTATGTTGAAGCATTCACCAGGTACAGGTATGGGCCCCTCGAATCTGCTTTTATATGATGAGCGTTGTTATTGCAAGAGACCTTCAAGTGTCTCATTGTGCTGTTTCTTACCACAAGCTTGTGCGTGCCAATCACCGACCTGTAGAGGCTACATCAAAGTATTTGTTGCTACATGAACAGATCGTTGAGTCGTGGGAATATCAGCTTGCATCACCTTAGCACAATCGACTGGAGTCGGCTTGTTCTGTGTCACAGAGGCTGTCATAACACCACCAGGGCATGCAGTACTGCTTTTTAAACCTGCACATTTCTGCCTAACTATAGCATTGCAGATTGACCGGACTCGGAGTGACTTGAATTGTCGGAGGTGCTCATGGGCCTGACTGCAATGCAAAGACCACTGGTCCTATTCGACTACTGCGGGGCATTACCAAGCAAAACGTGGCAAAGAAACATGGCAGGCTGTGCAACAAGTTCCCCCTTCTCTGTGGGCTACTCGTCATAAGCATATCATATTGAAGATGTATGCCCGATCATGGGGTATTTGGCGTGTAATGAACATTGCTGGTCCCTACTGGTGGGCAACTTCAGAGGACCTCCGGACCTTGGCCTATGCATGCGCTTGTTGCCACGCTCTGAGAGGTGCACCAAGTAAGACTGTACAGGATGCTATTGGATCTTTGTTGCACCGAATGTTTTCTAGGTAGTATGTCCAAGTAAAGCCGGAGATGTGGATAATGATGACTGATTAGTTACATAGCGGTGTGGCGGCGATCTAAGCAGTTATGGCCCCACATGGTACCAGCTGCTAGCACCTCGTTCCAGGCATCTCCCCCGCATTGGGGCGTTGGAAAAGGCAAATTGTCGGCGTGCATAGGGGAGCTGCTCAACAAGTTCCTGCAGCTATGTCAAGAACTTGCATCATTGATCCTCTACTCCGTATTTCCTTGGGAGTTGTCACACACCGTTTTATGTCACTCCGGATTCTACAATAGTGAAATTTCATATCTGTATTCTTATCACTCACTAACGTATTCGCATTCGTTTTTCATTCTGTACTTGTGCTGATCTTTTCGCCCTCGCTCATTGTTGCCATCGCCCACAGCAATAAGTTACTCGGCAAAAGCACACCACTGTTAGCAGATCTTCAAGATGAGCAGCTGACTGAGTATCTATTCACTTGACCGCATACGGCACATCCATGGGATCGTTTCCTACATTGTGGAACACCCATTTTCCAATCCTCGACCAGTCAATGAGCCGGCGATCAACGCGGGTCTCAAGATCACAAATCAGAAGCAAACATTGTTGACCACTACGAAACCAGAACTCACCTGTTGTTGCCCTCTCCGGATTGGACTTTGTCCTGACCTTTTCTCTATCCACTTCGTTCCTTTACCGCTCTCGATATGGGCAGATTTCATCCTAAACGTCTCCTCTTAGGCGCCTTCGTTCTTCTCCTGATCTATGTTCATATTCGGCACTCCCACAACAACGAATTCTACACCAAGACCGTGAAAGCACTCGACAAGAAGAAAAAAGACCAAGCATTGAAAGCGGAGACAGACGCCAAAGTGCAACAAATACTCAACGACAAGAATCCACAGGTTGCAACCTCCCTTTCAGGACCACAACCCGCCGCAGCCACAGTCTCGGAATCAAACCCACGCCTTCCGCCTGACCCACCATCCCCTCCGACCCAGCCACAAGACGAAAATCAGAAAAAGGTCGCAGCAGACAAACCGAAATATGTCAAAGACACCACCGCGTCCCCCACTTCGCTCTCCCCCAACCCAACCACCCAACCCGACCCACCCCACCTCGCCCAGGTCCGCGCAGCCCTCGACGAAATAGTCCACCACCACAGCATCGTAATCTTCTCCAAAACCTACTGTCCACACTCGCGGCGCGCAAAGTCACTCCTCCTAGACACCTACGACATTGTCCCCCAACCCTACGTCGTGGAACTCGACACGTGGACCGAACCCGCGCGGAAAGGAAGTGGAGAAGTTCGGGATGGCGAGGTGGTTGAAGAGAACATTCCAACGATGGGCAGAGCGTTACAGGATCTTCTGGCGCAGCGGACGGGCAGGAAGACCGTGCCGAATATACTGGTGTTGGGGATGAGTCTAGGAGGGGCGGACGAGGTGGTGAAGTTGCATGAGGAGGGCAATTTAGCTGGCAAGTTGAAAGGGATGGTGGGGAAGAGGCTGGAAAGGTGTGAAAAGAGAGTTTCTAGGAGTGGTGATGGTGCGGATGGGAAGGGTGGGCATGGCGCTTTGTGATTTAAGGAATTGATGAAAGCGAGAAGAGATGGTATAATGATAATGATGATCCTCAGGCTGGATAAGGAGGCCTGTATTTCGAGATGCAGGGATCTGAGCCGTGTGGGTCAGGAGTACTGCTCCTATCGAGTTAAGTGGAAAAGCGTTGGTGTTGGGAGGTCCGATCAACTCTTGATATCATACTGTACTGGCGGGCATCTAATTAGCAGTTTCAATACACAATATGTCATAATAGTATACAAGTTCTCGCCAATTGGTGATACGCAGTTACGGCGTCCGTCCACCGTAACAATGCACGGCACAGTACAGTTGCGCTGTCCGAGTGAAGATTCAGCATAGAAGCAGCAGTACGATATCAAGCAGTTACCGCTCTTGCTATTGCTATGATACATGGCCGACTTTTAGGGTGTGCTGAGCTGCTGCTGCTCGCGAGTACGCCCACTCATGCAAAGGCTCCGTTGGGAGGAGCAGGCAGTGAAAGCCTCGGCTTCGCTTCCGACTTTTTGACTTCAAGCATATATGCAGTCATGGTGAGAGGGGACCTCTGAAGCCGCGGATCGACACGATACAGCAGCTTAGCAGCACTCGCACATCTGCAAGCACGCACTCCAGGCCGCTTTTCTCCTGTAGCACCTCAAATCTCATCCAGAAAGGCCACCCCTAACCCAATTTTAGCCACGTGGCCAGCTATCGGATCTATCACGATCCAAAGCCAGCCTCCAGCCCATCACATGTGTCTTATGACTCCGAACTCAGTTCAAACGCCGCAACAGCCATACCTGCAATCCTCATCGCAACGACATTCTTCCCCGTTCCGCTGTTCACTCCGTCCCCGCCGTCCGCAAGACCAGCTTCATTCTTCAAGATGTCTGTGCAGAACTCCCACTCCCTCTCCCAATCTCTCTCCTTCTCCTCCTCCTCCTCCTCATCCATCTCCTCATCAGCCAATCTCGCCGCAGCCTCTCCTCCCGATTTTCTGTCCCGATCCAGAGCTTCTCTCTGCAGGAATCTCATCCTCATGACCGTATATACCACATCTCGATTCTCGAATCCATCCAACAACGTCCTCGCCCTGTGAAGAGCCGTCTTCATCTCCGCTTTACTTGTGTCTGGATTTGAATCCGCATCTCTGGAGGCGGCAACGAATCGTCCAACACAGAACCAGAATTCATCCTGCCGAGTTTGGAGCTGGCGGGCTAGTGGCTTTGGGAGGGGCGTGTCGACGGGAGAGGAAGGTGGGATCAGAGGGTGCTCTGAGGATTGTGGGGTTGGGTTGTTGGTGAGGAGAGAGTATAGGGCTTTCAGTCGTGCGGTGAGCATGAAGGTAGTGGTGTCTTCGCCAGGAAAAGTGGTTATAACGGTCTTAGAACCGTAGTCGTTGGTTGGGGGAGACTGGGTATTTGTGTGCTGTGGATTCTGGGTGTCATCATGCCCTACTCTCCTGTTCGGAACGGCAGAATCGTTGTCCGGAGGTCTCCTGAAATCACCTGATGTGGCAACGATTCGACTTGGGAGAACTTCCAGTTCGGTACTCGACTCGGTAATTTCTCGAGATGATACCTGACTTCCGCTGCATATGTTGAGCAAGCCCCATATCAGACGGGTCTCCTGCGCCAATGTACCTGGGAACGGCGATTCCTCTGCACCAAGGCTAGCAGCCCGGACAAAGGCGATGAACTCCGCAAGCATATGAGAATTCATCCGCAGTGCATTCAAGCCCGACATAGTATACCAGCGCGTCTCTAGAAACCTGTCGAGAGCTGGGGCGTATACCGTGTTGTAGATGGCTTCGACTGACTCCTTGAAAACAACATCATCGGATCGTGACACAGTGACTGGAGGGGCCATCTGGCCATCGGTGTTGAAAAGCTCCTTAACGTGCACACGTTCTGCTACTGACAGGCCGTCAGTCACGGATCTATATATTAGTAAGAGTAATGTCCTTCTTAGTTGGATTCGGCTGATCGCGTACCTGGATGATGCAATATTTGAGAGATAGACGGCACTGATAGCGGGTTATTCTCTGCAACGAGTCCTTCAGGCTGCGCTTGCTCTGGTTGGCCTTGGATATCTGGTATGGATGGTATAACATGATCTCCACTTGCACTATCGGATTGTGCTATCGGGCCAGACGATGGAGAGGGTGATTTTGAAGTGGGGGAGAAGGTGTTGATGGGAGAAGCTGATTTGGGAAAGCTACCAAGATGAAGTGAAGGTGCACTGGCTGAGGAAGCTGGGGTTGAATTTGATGGGGAGATAGATGGTAACGATGGTAACGATGGTAACGAAGGCGCAGATCGTTGCGACTTGAATATTGGATCGTATCCCAGACACTCTCGCTTGCTTTTCGAACAGTTACGGCAGCTCGGTTGCTCTTCGTCACACTTGGGAGACGACAAGTTAGCGTAGACCAAACAGTAATTCAGCATTTTAATGCCCGTTGAGGTGACAACCCGGCACAAGCCGGATCCCGATCTGTTGGGTGCCAAGACTTGTGCCTCGATCTATTTTGTTTTGTGTGCAAAGCCACATCCATCCCTCGCTCCACGTTTCAACGTCAGTAAAAGATGGCGTACCTTGATTCTCCGTCTTCGACACGTCATACAGCCCGTTTTAGTCCTCCGTTTGACCTCCTTCTTGTGTCGGCCTCCTGAAAGCAAGCGATGTGATCCAGAGGGTGCAATAGGAAGGGAAGTAGTAGGATGTGGCAAACCGTCAACCTGGCCGGCTGGGTGTCCTGTCGCGGGACCATGTCCCAAAGGGGGATTAGAAGAGGTGATATGGTATTGTGATATGCCAGGCAGCTGCGGACGATGATATTGGCTTATTGGAGGTAATCCAGGTGGAGGCAGTCCTTTGCTGAGTCCAGGATCTTGGGAAGGATGAGGTGTGAACCGCTGCAATGGATCTATAGAATGCAGAGGTGGTAGACTGAGAGAGGCTGTTGTTGGCTCGACGTCTCTCGCAGATTGCACACCTGGCTCGCTTTTGGTGGATGGTATGCCAGAGGGAAAGGAGGACATCCCAAGGCAAGACTAACTGAGCTCAGGCAGTACCTATGATTCTCCTTTCCCTTAACAGGACTAACGAACGATCAAACGATGTAGTGGAAGGTGTGGAATATTTGCGTCAGCTATTGACAGCTCCTCAATTTGCCCCCTTCGCGTTCTGCCAATGCTGTGGACGCACAGACTTCGCCTCTTTACCAGTCATGCAACGCTATCATATCAATGTCACAGCCACTTCCCAAAAACGTTTATTTTGGCACCGGACGTAGTATCCAAGACATCCAAACCAGCTCTTATCTCAAAAACAGTAGCAGGGCCGGGACCTGATGGATAGCAAGGGAGATAGCTGCTAATTGCACTTCAAGGAACATTGAGGGCTTCAAACAGACGATTTGGCAATACTCTCGAGTGTTGAGCGGAGCTTCATCTCATTGCATTACCTAACATGTCCAATGTTAGTCGTCTCACACCGATGTTGAGGAGCAGACACGAGAAGGTGGAGGCATTCATCTCGCTTATTGGCAAGATCAGCCACACGAGCAGCTTCGCCTCGACCGTAACAGACTGCAGGCATGTTTTACCAATAGCACGCGTGCTTTGAGCATGGCTAAACGCCAGGAAGCTTGTAGGATCGATACTGCATGTGGACATGAATAAAAGAGATGACCTGATGCCGTGTTCTAGACCGTTTCGACTACTCAGCCTTACGGCCCAAACGTCCAGACCAAGTTCTAACCATATTGAGCGATTGGTGGCTCTAGATCACGACATGGCGCTGAAAACGGATTTGGGAGGGATCGTTGGAAAGAAGGAAATCCTTGCAGACAAGTGCTAGAAATGCCTGATACCAACGGTTCGAGAGTCGCTTACCTTGCTTGGTTCGATCTACCCTATATAAAAGCAATGTCCTGAGATGGGTACCGCCCTCTGGCTCCGATGTAAGGTCTCTTGTGGAAGGTACAAAGACGAGCTGAATTGGGCATTCACTTGAGTGCACTATTAAGATCAAGAGGATGTATCTCGTCTACCCCGTCTACGTTATGAGAACAAGTCATGCTTGAAGGTGTTACATGGCGCACCCTATTCTTACCCATAGGTTTGTACTCAAGCTACTAGGGTCTCTACCTAACTAGGATCGAAGTACCGAAGAGGTCTTGAATCACGGGTATGTTGTATCAAGATTCAAGAGGTACATGGTTGTGCAGTCTGGTCTCAAGAGAATCTGTGGATTTTCCCGTCCGCCGCAGGAACCCGTATTACGTCTCTCTAACGACCTACTAGTAAGTATTTCGCAAACCCATTTCGGAGTCTTCAACAGCTTGGCGAGGATGATTCTCACCAGCACCGCCACCACCACCCAATTAAGTGGCCACGTGTCTTTCAGACTCTGAAGTAAGATGGAGCAAGGAAGTGTCGCTCTTCGTACGAGGCATGACAACAATTCGATCGTGATCGTACTGGCGTCCCGATATGTACCTCAGGCGGCGCACAGTGGACAAAACTGCTGGCAGCTTGGAGGGTAGATTGCCATCGAATAAGGGCTCTTCATTCTCGAAGATGGTGGCGGGAGATAATAGCAAACTTCTTCGTACGCCTGTCCAGCTGTGCATTGACAGGCTCCCCTGTGGAGGAGCTGAAGTGCTACAATGCAGTAGGGTCTCCATCCTGCAGGGGTAGCTTTTACAAGGCCGACCATTGGGACTACAAATATGTTGATATTCGTCAATTACCGCAAGGACAGTCTTCCTGAGCTCGTTAGCTTCTGCACCTCATTCCTACTTGGCCAATTCACCCGCAGGGATAGTTTCCTTCAGCTACAGGACAAACTCAAATGGAATTGAGTGTTGAGAGCTTGAACAAGGCAAATCGCGCTGGCATCTTGCACGAGGGAAGTGCCAAGTCCTTGTCTCACTTGAGCCTGTGGAACCTCGCCACGTGACTGTTGTCCTGGTGGCAATGCCGGTTACTGGGTTTTGGGTAGCATATTCGCTTAATACGTCCGCTGCCACCCATGGCAATTTCTCCGTGCCCGTCCAATGTCCGCTGCATCCGTGAAACCTTTGCCAGACGTATCACAGAATATTCGAATTTTTTATTGCTAGGAACCGTCTTTCATCGCCACTGTGGAGGTTTCACTTGGGGCGCGTGGCTTTGGACTTCCGCTTCTTGAACACAACCTCGAGGGATCCTAGAGAGGGTGCTCGAGTCTCTTCCGCAACCTGATCTGAGGTCGCAGAAGGTGCAGAGACGGCCTCTTGCTTAACCTGGGGATTTTCCGTGGCGTCTATGGCATCTTGATCCTCCTGTGCATTGTAGCAAACATGCTCCTCGACTGTAAGCTGATCAGAATCTTCTTGTTTCAAAGTTGGAAGGCTTTCTTCTTTCTTGGCAGAGATGTTGCCTGCAAGTAAGACGTCGAGATCTCTGTGTGCGTGCGAGGGGTATTGCTTCGTCGTGGAACCCCAACCTTTCCTCTGAATGGTCTCGCTGGCCCCTTCATCCTCCTCCTGGCCCTCAAATTTTCGTTTGCGAACGCCAACACTCAATGATGATCCCTTTTCTGTCTCTTGACCTGATTCGACAGGTTTCTGTGATACCACCTGCCAATCACCTGCCAAAGCCATTTCACCTCGAAACTCGTCGGGAACGGCAATGCCCATCTCAGCCAGTTGAGCCATCTGTCTTTTTCGATCCGCGACGGTACTTGACGAAGCACTGACCGCTGTTGTCCTTCTCGAAATATGAGCGCTGGTTTGTGCTGATGATGTTGAAGTTGCGCCCACAGCCCGATTCAGGCGCTCAACTTCCGACTTTGCCCTTTGCTTCTCCCGCTCATCTTTTTCATGGTTGTTTTGAATATCTCGCAGAAAGCGCTTTAGGTTTCCCTGATGCCTGCCTGTGGCTTCATGCAGGTTTCTCTCGATTTTGGTATCCTTCACATAGGTGGTGCAGTGCTTGCACCAGTATTTGGGCTAGTCATCGCAAACGTCAGCCTTGTAGAGACGGGGCAGCAATATAGGAAGGACATCAACATACCGTGGATTTCCAATATTCAGCCATGAAATACGCCTTGCCTTGCGACAAGTTATCACGCAGCAGATTCTTGAAGGGCGTACGGAAAGCTGGTAGTATGACCAAACAAGATGATTGAGGGTGTACAACTGGGCATGCAAATTAGGTAACTAGAGAGCTAATGACGCCCGCCGAGATGCTTAAAGCTTGGCTGCGTTTCTAGCGGGTCAAGCTGCCCAAGAAGGGCTAAGTCATCCCCGCCACCGCTCGAGAAAACTTTATCCGCTCCACCTTACCACAGTCCGAAGGCATCTGATCGTATAGCAATACGATTAATTACTAATGACCACTGTCTTATGTTTCTTCACCTTCCGGTCTCTCGGACTGGATTGGCTCTCATATACGGAGTCGCGCTTCAAAAGTCATCAATATACCCTAAATTTAGAGCTTCACTAGCACAATTGATCTACTTAGTAAGCTCTAGCGGCGCATAGAAAATACGTACTACGTAATAGGGGTTGATCCCTAGAGCTACTGTTATCACCCTCTTATCTTAAAGACCACTAGGGACCTATTTAGGTCTGTAGTATATTGTTAAGCTTTAGCCATCCGCCCTCGGACAATCTTTACGCCCCCACTGTCTACTGCGGGGGGGGCCATAAGTAATGTTAGCTCTAGGCTAGTTACATCCTATAATTGCCAAGATAGAACGCCACCAAATCGCTCAATCAGGACTATCTGGTTTTTTTTCTTAATATTAAGTATGCCGTCCTTCTGCATCCATCACTGCCTGGCACCTCTCTGGCAGAATTCGGAGTAGAATTCGTATATATAGAAACAGCAAAATCAATAGAATCCACCCGAAATTCGGTGAATTCAAAAGAATCTGTACGAAGTTCATTAAATGTAATGCGTAGAATTGATAGAAACGCGTGGAGCAGTGAGGTTATAGTGCCGGACAAGAGGTTCTGTCAAGAGGGCGTTTCGTGAGAATTTTACTAGTGTGGAGCTAACAGTCTTTACGCCCCCACCGTCTAGGGACAGTACGCTAGTACAGGAAGGCTAGCTCTTACTTATCCCAGTTAGCATATATTGATGACTTTTGAAGCACGACTCCGTATTTTGCTCAGAACTACGTTGGACGGTGCCTCTTAGTGTTCTCTCAACCAATTCCGTTGTCGCTCTCTACGTAGTAAATGCTAACAAAGCTTGTGACGCCCTTTTTAGTAATCGCCCATGTTCTTGTTCTTGTTCTTGTTCTTGGATGTAGGTATTCGTCTCTGTTTCCTGACGTGCTGTTGTTTCAATAGCTATCTTTTTCCGCGTGTAGTCCACTCCTTTGGGCATCATGATTCGCGCAGTCAGTCATTCCCGCCAGTCCGTCGGGCCATGCATACAGGCACAGCGTTCCCATTCAATCCATAATCAGGTGATTCTTAAGGACAGTGTGGACCCTCCGGACCTCCCGAACCAGGAACATCAAGGCCTTGAGAAGAATATCGGCAATGATGAGAGAGGAAATGATGAATCTCTCCAGGCCCGCATTGAGAGACTCGGCAGGGAGCGCCCCAAGGTCTTCCGCTCTATGTGGGCAGAGATTGCTTTTGTTTTCTCAATATGCAATTCACAGATCATAACAGAGTTCTTCGTATCTGGATTTACGGTTATCCTCCCGACGTTGATCCAAGAGCTTGATATCCCTCAAACGTCGTCAGTGTGGCCCGCGACAGCGTTTTCTTTGGCAATCGCCTCCACTCTGCTTTTCTTTGGCAGATTGGGAGACATGTACGGTGGCTACCCCGTCTACGTTTGTGGTATGATATGGTTGGCCGTGTGGTCTCTCATTGCAGGCTTCTCTACAAGCCCATTAATGCTTGACTTTTGCCGGGCGTTGCAAGGCCTCGGAGCAGCTGCCTACCTTCCAAATGGAGTCCTCCTTATGGGAAGCATCTACCGGCCAGGACCACGAAAGAACCTAGTGTTTAGTATATTCGGAGCTTCTGCTGTAGCCGGCTTCTTCGTTGGTATATTCTTTGCTGGTGTGGTTGGCCAGTACACTCGTTGGGGATGGTATTTCTGGATTGGAAGTTTGCTCGCAGCTATCACGGCTGTAAGCTCTGTGTTTTCAATCCCGTCCGACTCGGCTGCAAGGAGAAAGAACGGTATCACGATGGATTGGCTGGGCTCTGTACTTATGGTATCTGGGCTCACTTTGACTGTCTACGCTATTACCGACAGTTCGCACTCCCCGCACGGTTGGAAGACGCCGTACATTCCGACATTGCTGATTGTTGGCTGCTTGCTCACCGTAGCAGCAGTATATGTTGAAGGCTGGGTTGCGAAACTGCCACTCCTTCCGTTTGACGTCTTCGCCATTCCGAGCATGAAACCCCTGACGCTTGCCTTACTTCTGAACTATGGAACGCTAGGCATATATCTTCTATATGTTACTCAATATTTCCAGATTTTTATGGGAGCAACACCACTCCAAGTGGTAGCTTGGTACACACCCATGATCCTCGGCGGTTTGATCCTGTCGACGGCTGGAGGATTCGTGCTTCATCTGATTCCAGGAAAGGCTCTTCTGGTGTTCTCAGGCGCCGGCTGGATCGGTGCGTTGTTACTTTTCGCTCTGGCTCCGCTGGGAGCAAGTTATTGGGCCTTTACATTTCCAAGTACGATATTTGCTACGATTGGCATCGACATCACTTTCAACATAGCCAACATATTCATAACGACCCAAATGCCGGGTGAAAGACAAGGACTGGCTGGGGGTCTCATCAACAGCATCCTGCATTTAGGCATCACTTTCTGTCTCGGCTTTTCAGACATCATCCAGGCGGAAACAATAGATAGGTTGGGACTGCTGAAAAGCTACAAAGCTATATTTTGGTTTGGTGTTGCCGATGCCAGTATTGCCTTATTTCTCATGACATTCTTCGTGAAGATTGAGAAAGCAAAAAGCGACCTGACTGCAGACGAGAAGCGAGAGTTGGAGCAGGCTGTACTCGATGAGCGGCGTTCTAATGCGCCCTAAAGAGAAGAGAACAAAGTCGCATGGCTTCAAAGGCTCATACCGGGCACGTAGATGCGCTTGATATTACTCCTCGCCTTCTGGAAGCACAGTGATTGATGACGCTTGGACTACACAGCGATTGTGTACTGTGTCTTGACTCCGCCAGGGTTTGGCTCTGCCTCCAACTTTCCGCAAGCTCTGCTGTTAACTTGGATTCACGCATGGTGCACACTTCTGACTCTCTTCATTCAGCTGCCTAGTTCGGAGCAACAACCGACGGCCATGTGTTACGCTGACTACGCTATCGATGCCACGGACAGGAGTAGAATCATTTCGTTTGACAAGATCAGGGCATATTAACTAGATGATGATGAAAGTCTTGACGAGGACGGTTTGGTGGTGGAGGTGCAGCCTGTGTTGAGCGGTTGGATCATCGTCATGTCGCAAATGTCATGGGTGCAGTGCAAAGTCAGTAGATTGTCTGACCTGGTTTCAGTGGTCGTCAACAACGTCGAATGGTCTTGTTGGTGCATTTCCACATTACTGAAGAGGTCATCCATAGAGATCATTCACAGAAGTGAGATGCACTTCAAGTGGTCCTTTTACGCTGCGGGTGTACAAGCAGGGACTCAGGTGACTTGACTGGCTGAGGTTGAGTGGATAATGAGAATGAGGTGATCACATGCTCTCGTTACCTAGATCGAGGGCACGATCGAGGGCACGACCGACCTACACGGCCTGTTCTTCTAAGGTATCATAATTCATGCTCGATATTTGAGTATATCGAGGCTCTCTACCTTGCCTCTAGCATATATTCTAAGACCCGTGTTCTCATTTCGCCGCTAGATTCTTCGCCTCATACGGCATACTACTACATATGTAGTATGACGGAATGGGTCGTCTGGGCCGAAGGGCCTGAACGACCGCAGATGGCAGCCCCATGCGCGGTCTCGGCTCGAAGCAATCCCGTCAATCACATCTTCTAGTCAATATGGCGCATCGCTCCCAGGCATTGCTTCCAATGCAATCATCTGATGTGGCTCGACCTACGTACTAAAGCGGAGTGGATCTCCATCCTCCATAGGTTCCCGCTATCTCCCAAGGCTGATTAGCCATTGGCCGAGATCGGCATGTGGGTCACCACTGACAGTTCATCCCCCCGTCTGCCCACGGGATTACTCTTGGTCGTCAGGAAAGGCAGCCCCAAGACAGGCTTGCTATGGTGAGGTCAATCTCCTGGATACCTCTTCGTGAGATTTCCGAGCCAGCTACGCCAAATCCTGCCCAAGTAAGTCTCTCAATTGAGCGTGACTTGCACTGCAAGGTCGTCTCTTGACCTTGTCGACATTAATCCCGTTAATATCTTCACATGATTTCTCGTTCACTGCTGGGCTTCCTATTCTATATATTGTATGCTTACCCTCCTTGACCACAGGTGCCCTACCAGCCAGTTCGTCAAGGCTCCGAAAGTCCTCCGAACATGGCATCACCAAGGAAGTCCCTCCACGAGGATGGCCCCGTCGAGACAGATCCAATACTTGACGGTCTCACTCTTTTCGAGAAGAAGGCCCATATCGTCAACCGTGAGCTTGACAGCATGGGCATGGGACGGTATCAATGGATGATATTCGCTCTGTGTGGATTTGGATACATGCTTGACCTGTTATGGGCCCAGGCCTTTGGTCTTGTCGTTAGGCCCTTACGGCAAGAGCTTGGTTTCTCCGAAGGGGAAGTTGGTAATATCTCGAGCGCATTCGCTGCAGGGCTCACCGCTGGTGCCTTTGTCTGGGGGGTTTTGGTGGACATCATTGGACGTCAATGGGCTTTCAATTTCACCGTCCTTTTTGCGAGCATCTTCGGACTCTGTCTTGGTGCTCCATCGAGTTACGACGCTATCCTCGTCCTTACGGCATTTGTTGGTTTCGGCGTGGGAGGGAACATTCCGATTGATACCACCATCACGCTCGAGTTCTTACCACAGAACCGTCGATTTCTTCTCCCACTGCTATCCATCTTCCAACCAATCGGCGTCGTGGTATGCTCGGCTCTTGCGTATGCGTTCATTCCCAGATACTCTTGTGCTCCCGACCTCTTAGCCTGCCGTAATGTTGCTGCTGGGGAACCATGCTGCACCAAGGCCGACAATTATGGCTGGCGATATCTTCTTTTCACCCTGGGTGCCATTACCATGGTGGTCTTTTTTCTACGCTTTGTCGTCTTCCGCTTCCAAGAGTCACCCAAATTCCTTCTCTACCGGGGCAAGGACGAAAAGGCTGTCAAGGTCATGCAGCATATCGCACAATACAACCGCACCACGAGCCCCATCACGCTGGAAACGTTTGCTGCATTATCCGGCGGTGATTCTTCTACGGGCACCCCCTCCTCCAGCAAAGCAATGCTCGGTGCAGGAGCCAAGCAACTGAATAATACCCTCGGTGAGAAAGTCAAGATCGAGATGGAACGATACAAGCTTCTTTTCAAGAACGCAACGGTCACTCGCCTTACGATCTTGATATGGATTATCTACATCTTCGATTACTGGGGTTTCTCGATCGCTGGCGGGCTTCTCCCGTATATTCTTGCAGAGAAGTCTAGCGAGGCAGGGCTCAGTACCGAGTCGACGTATCGCAGTTATATCTACATCTACCTGTTCGGTCTGCCAGGCGTCGTGCTGGGCACAACACTTTACAAGGGTAGACAGGCTGCAATGCTGGGAAGCTCGGCTCTCTTTGCTGCCACGCTTTTCATCTTCACTGCTGTCGATACACAGGCCAAGTATATTGGTGTCAACGGACTTGTCTACTTCTTCCAGAGCATGTTCAACGCAGTTTTATATGGTTGGACACCCGAAGCGTATCCCGCCCCGATTCGAGGCACCGCTGCAGGTGTGGCAAGCTTCTGGGGTAGAATTGCCTCGATTGTGGGACCAATAGCGGGAGAGAAACTGCTTGCATTGTCATACAATGCGCCTCTTTATCTTGCCGGAGCAGGGGTCTTCATATGCACTATCTGCATAGCATTTCTACCCCGGAAATATCTGGGTGCGGAGAGCTTCTAGAGGGCGTACCCTGGATAGAAGGAAATCATTGCCAGAGGGGGGCGAAACAACATCTTTGCTGGCTTCGGGGTGGCTGCCGTTCTGAGCGATCTGTGCGCTTCTTATCATTGCATTGCATTTTTGTCTCTGATGCTTCCCCGCCTTTCTTGGCTAGCTATCACGAGCTAGCTATCACGAGGGCGATTCTTCTGCAGTGAGCATCTGGCAGGCCCGGCTTTAGCTGCTTTCAGCTAGGAGCGTCCGGCTCGAATGGAGGCTGTCCGACGCTTCTCTATTGCTTGGCCAAAGCTAGACCTGCAGATGCATCATTTGCTTGCATGTTTTCTCTGCGCCGAGTGGAATCGCTTGCTGCTGGTGTCTCTCTTATCCCTGACTTGTCCTCCGTGCCTCGGCGCATTCCTTTCCTCACCTTCCTCTACGGGTACTTTGATGTCTTGCCTCGCTAGCTCTGCTTGGAATATGAGGATGTCATCGGTTGCGTTGCATATCGCCATCACGCGTATGCAAAGCATGAACGCGGTCACTCAAGGGTTCACTCAAGGGTTCACTCAAGGGTTCACTCAAGGTCCTGCATATTGCACTCTTGCTCAAGCCGTATTAATATCGAGTCCCCCCCTCTCCTGAGCCAACACTTCATCACATTTACATCCAGGGCCAGCCATTCCGATCACCATGCGCAGTGTCCTCTCAGCTATTGTCATCGCCGTCAGTGCGACCCTTGTATCGGCTCAAGACTCTGGCACTGACATTGATGGGCCTTTCACCCGGGATGAGCTCCGCTCCTCCATTAACCTAGACGACTTGCTAGCAGACGCCCAAACCCTCGAGGGTTTTGCCTACTCCACCCCCGAACGAAATCGAGTGTTTGGCTCGCCCGGCCACAATGCCACTGTTAACTGGCTCTACGACGAGCTGTCTTCCCTAAATGGCTACTACAGCGTCTCCCTTCAACCCTTTGAGGCCCTCTTTAGCAGCGGCAATGAGTCCTTCACTGTGAACGGCGCCGACCAAAATGCTACCCTGCTAACCTATACTCCCTCGGGAACCGCCCTCAACACCACCATCATAGCGATCTCCAACCTCGGATGCAACGCCTCAGACTATCCATCCACCGTCAGCGGAAAGATCGCGCTCGTCTCCCGTGGCTCGTGCACCTTCGGCCTCAAGTCCGCTCTCGCAGGCTCTGCAGGTGCCGCAGGTCTGGTAATCTACAACAACGTCCCGGGCCCACTAGCCGGTACCCTCGGCGATGCTTCCAACCCAGTCGGACCCTACACGCCCACCGTTGGCATCCCGCTCGAGAACGGACAAGCCATCCTTGCCCTCCTCAACTCCAGCTCTACTCCACTCGCTGGGAATCTGGAAGTAAACTCCATTCTTGAAAACCGTACAACCTACAACGTGCTCGCCCAATCCAACTCTGGCAACCAAAATTCAGTGCTAAGCCTAGGCGGACACACCGACTCCGTGATCCAGGGCCCCGGCATCAACGACGACGGCAGCGGCGTCATCGGCCTATTGAACGTTGCCCGCTCCCTGGCCTCCTACTCACCCCTCCCTTCAACCTACAACAGCATCCGCTTTGCATTCTGGTCCGCCGAAGAATTTGGCCTGCTAGGCTCAACCTACTACGTTGAGAACCTGCCTGCCCCGGAACTCGCAAAGATCAAACTCTATCTCAATTTCGACATGATCGCCTCCCCGAACTACATTTACGCCCTCTATGACGGCGATGGGAGTTCATTCAATCTAACCGGCCCGCCCGGCTCTGATCGCATCGAAGCGCTCTTCCAAGAATACTTCTCGAGCAACAACCTAAACTACACCGCGAGTGCCTTCGACGGCCGTTCCGACTACCTGCCCTTCATCGAAGCCGGCGTTGCAGCTGGCGGCATCTTCACCGGCGCCGAGGGCATCAAGACGCCCGCCGACGTCGAATCCTTCGGAGGCACGGCAGGCCTGGCATACGACGAGAACTATCACGAAGCGGGCGACAATGTGACGAATCTGAACGCGGAGGCCTTCAGGGTCAACAGTGAGGCGATCGCGTGGAGCGTGGCGACGTTTCTGGAGAGTTTGGAGGGGATTCCGGAGAGGAATGCCACGCAGGGTGGGAACGGGACGGCGAGTGCGGTGCCCAAGCGGAAGAGGAGCAAGAGGGATGTGGAGTGGAGGAAGCGGGCCGCTGGGCAGAGTGGGTTTGGGAACGGAAATGCACATAGTCATGCACATGGGAAGGGCGGGTGTGCGAAGTTCCGAGTGGCGATCTAGATATACGGTTGGTCGGTCGGTCGGTGGGTTGAGTACCTTGTTGGTTCTAATAATAATATGTGTACAAAACCAAGCTGTAGTCTAGGGATCCAAGAAACACAGAAGGGGGACGGGCTCTCCCAGGAACTGAAACGATCCACGCACACCCCCTATCTATCTGCCCAATACTCCAATCCCAAACAGCCCCCCCACAAATAAAGAAAATCAATACATCCTCCTTCCAGCCTTGACCGCGCTCAAAACGCCCTTCTCCTCCAACAGCGTCAAAATATCAAAGAGCGGCACATCATTGCCCCTCCTCGCCACCATACTCAGCGACACGGGCAGATAACCCGCCTTCCCCGTCACGCGACTCACGAACGGCACCTCGCCGATCGGGACCGTGTAATCGGGACAGCCGACCAGGTAGCCAAAGGAGTAGACGCTGAATTTGTCGTAGACGACACACTCGTGCTCGGGGATGTCGTCGCGGTAGTTGGGCCGGCCGAAGCTCTGCGGGAAGATGAGCAGGGTGATTGCTTCTTCGTCGGGCGGGCCGAAGAGGACGTTCTCGACCCAGCGCGCGAACACGGCCATGGAGTCGAGGTGTTGGGCGATCTGGGCGCGGGTGAGGGAGCGGCCGTATTCGAGGCGTTGGGACACGATGGCGGAGAGTTTGGGCGCGGAGCCGTGGTGGGAGGAGGCGTACGAGGCGAGGAAATCGTTGATGCCGCCTTCGTGGAGCGCCGAGTAGGAGACCAGCGCCGAGTAGATGGGGCCGGTGGCTTCGTCGAGCGAGTCCGGTTGGCCTCGCGGTTTCATGGCGCGCCAGAGCTCGTCGAGGTTGAAGGCCGTTCTTTCGCAGCACAGGTGTTGCTCTAGTTTCAGGACGAATGCTTCGATTTTCTTCTCGGCTTCGGTGAGTTTGGACGCGTCGGCCAGAGGGTTGGGAAACCATCGGTGTGGGCTTGGGTGCTCTTGCTGTAATGATCGGACAGGATATAGAAGTTTGTATTTTCGTGCCTCTCTAGGAATTAATGGCTGGAAGGAGCTGGGCAGGAGTTGCGTGCCAATCTTGCCGAAGGTTGTTGCGTCCCTGGTGAAGATGCCCAGTGTGTTCAGTAGGTCAGTGGCACCCAAGACGCCCACAAGACTGATTGCTGTTTGTGTAGGTCGGTTTCCAAAAAGACCATTGACACCAGCTGGATGTCTGATGGAGCCACCGGTGTCTGTACCGATTGTGCAATCCAGCCACGGATAGGCTGCGGCTGCCACAGCGCTTCCTGTGCTAGAAGATGATGGTTTCTGTTCTCCGTCCCCTCGTGGATTTACGGGGCATGTGGAACCAATCCACTGGTGAGGATCAACACCTTCACAGAATTCACTCGTTTTGAGCTTGCCCACAACAACAGCGCCAGCGGCCAACAGAAGCTTTATAGCAGGTGCGGTTGTCTTTGCTGGTGGATAAAGCTCGTGCCAAGCATTGTTACCATAGCCGGTCTTGAGCCCTTGCAGGTGAATGTTGTCTTTGACTGCTATCCGAAGCTGTTGTTGATTAGCGTGCCGGCTATGGATAGGATTCTTGGGGACTCACGCCAGCAAGAGGTCTTGATTTTGAGGGCGTGGAGTAAAGCCTTGACGGAACAGCAACCATACGCTGCTTACTTGAAGAAGGCAGCCGCTCCATGGAGCTCAAGGGGCTCTCGCTGGCAGACAGATTGAGTGTACGAAAATTGTCTTTCCTCGTCCTGATAGGAAGTATGGCTTTGATAAACGCATGGTGCGTATCTTTGTAAAGCCTACACACTGGATGGATCCGTCCCGTCGCTTTGCAAACAACGTATGGCCCATTTGCCAGCTTCCGATCTGAAGTGTTGATGAACAGAATGGTTGTGTCCGTCCTCACCTCGAAATGCAGACGCCTTGGCTGTTGCAGCACGACAACTGTACCAATTTCCGGTCAGCGAATCGTACTGCGGTCGTCGAAAAGTCAGTCTGCCTTACCTTTGAGGAAGGCACGACACCAGACATCATCTTCTCGAGAAAACCTTTCGCACACAGATTCGACATCATGGTTAGTAAAGCAAGGTCTGTTGCATGTAAGAACGGTCACTGGCAACAGTCCACCGTCAAGCGTATCGAGTCTGGCAAGTTGCTGAGGAGAAAGCTTTGCGACAGAATGTGGTAATAGGTAGTAAAGATTACTTCCGATAGAGCACTGCCGGGTTTTCTCGAAGCCTTCCATTCAAAGCGACCACCGTCAATACCAAACCAGTATGGATGTGAAAGATGAAATATGAATATGCAAATACTGAAGAAGTGGAAAGAGTGGAAGAGTGCGACGGAACACTAAGAATCAGGTGAGGCTGATAAGGGAGATTGAGTTCGCCGGGTAGGGTACTTCCTGAGCCAAAGAAGGCACAAAGGGCGGGACGTTTTGGATGACCAGTTGGACAAAGAGAGGCCATGCTTGCTTGCTGGCTTCATCATGATCATGATATACTAACTTCCCTTTGGCAACTCCTGAGCAGCATGACGATGTTGCGACGGCCTGCTCCGCATCCGCGTTCGCGATGTGTCGAAGTATGGCAATATAAGGTTCAATTACACATCCTTCAAGCATGTTGGCCCTGAAGGATGTAGATGGAGCGTAGCAAGATGGATTTGAAGCTGCAAGGTCTCAAGTTAGTACTGTAAGTAATGTTCAAGGCCTAGGTAATGAACGGGCTAGGGAATGACTAGAGAGGAGAGCAACTTCTGGACGTGCATGTCGTGATGTTATCTTATCTTCTCAACGGTCTAACAATAGTATGGAGTCGTGCATCAAAAGTAGTCAAACTACACTAACTAATCTCAAGGCTCTACCAAAGATAGCTAGTGCTGACTAGCCTGAGATAGTGCTTCGTTGTACAGATAGTCTACCCTAGAGAAAGCCTAAAGAAGCCCCTGAATTAAGTGCTCTCTAGGCTTCTCCTCACGTGGTTGCATACTTATATTACGGGCCTCTAGCTAGTGAGGGCCTATCTAAGCACGCCTATAAGTTATCTGCTGCATATCTTAGGCTAGAGGGCCTACTAGTAGCTTACACTTACCTTCTACCTCTTACCTTAATATTAGTAGAGTTTGACCACTTTTGATGCACGACTCTGTACAGTAGTAAGTTAGTAGTTAGCTACGCCAAGCCTCCGTTTCGTCAGTTCAACCAAATTACTAATTACTAGCACTGGCAGTGCTCGAGTAAGGAGTGTAAATTACGGGTTAGACACCTCGGTGTGATTTCAGATGCCATAGCTCGAAACACAGACAGTCTGCAGGCCAAAGTCAACTCGGATATAAACGCCAGATCGGGCACCGAGCTTTATTAGGCCGGAGTACATACCGTTACACATATCCCCCCTAAACACCCGTCACCACGTTCCCTGGCCCCAGATTGCTGGCACAGAGCATGCGTCACATTCCAATGCGACACCAGCGATGCAGTGAATGACGCACGTTTCGTTTCGTGCTTGTTTTATCAAGATTATCTGACCATAGCAGTCAATTGTTGGTCGCCATTGCTGCCCTGTGGGGTATACAGTATACATAGATCTGCCTTATCTCTTTTTCTTTTCATGAGCAGACTTCGTTCTTGATTTTCTGTATTTCTCTTTGTCGACAAATTCCTTCTCATCACTAGACATTTGACGTATCTGGGTTATATTTGCGAGTTTGTGCCACCTCCTACACTAAGAAACGGGTTCTCTTATTATCATAAACATGGGTAGCTCACAATCGGTACCCTATTACGACCAGCCGCGTCGCCATCGCCACAGGAGCCGAGAACGAGAATACTTTCGACCACCTGGTGGCTATCGACGACCAGACCTTCTGCCGCAGTACGGACCGAGGTATGATAAACCTGTGCAATCAGCAGAGACCTGTGTTTATAACCCTTTGATGTAGATATCGCGATTCATATATGAGACCGATCCCCCCTCCAGGATATGGCGGACCTTACGTGGACAGATACAATCGACGCCCACAACGTTATAGATGGTAGTATCGTGGTGCACTGAGGTGCAGGTCCGCATGAAGTTGGAAGTATGTCAAACTCTTTAGCCGTTGCACAACACCATGGCATGTCGAAGTGCCCACTGAGCTGTTCTCTACCAGCAAGCTTGCTTGCTACAATGAATTTATGGAATACCACCACAACACAACACAATGCAGTCTAGCGTGTCTTTGGAAATCGTAGGTATTGTCTCAAGCAATGCTCCGTACATTGTGCCACAACCCTAACACGTGTGGTACTAAGTGCTGTAGTAGTAACCCACCTGCACGGCAGACCCAGTGCCAAGATCCCAAACAGGAATCGCAGAGCTAAGTGTAACCACAACTCCGCAATCGACCTTGACCCATCCTACATAGGGCTCGTGTCTTCAATTCGTAGCACCAACAGCTTGCATATCCTTGTCGATCTCATCTTCCCGTGAGGAGGTCCTTCTAGACACTCTGATACAGAGTAGATGTATGGGGAGCTTGGCAATAAACTGGTAATCCAGAAACTCGGAGCTTGACAGCCTTCCCAGTCATCTAACATCAAGAGAATAGGTGCAACATGCCAAGCGCACCCAGAACCTGACACATCTGCCGCCTTACCAGACTGAAACAGTCAGGGCCGTGACCCGAGAAGTCAGAGACCTAGAAAAGGACGTCAAGCGCATCCTCGAGCCTTTTGAGGGCCATTTCAACCCGTCCTCCGATCCTCCGACCGCCTGCGCCTTGCTTGTTGACCACCTTGCTATCAGGCGGAACAAGCGATGTCTTCTTGCTTATCATCGAGGACGAGCTGATAAGCTAGAGGAGATGTGTTGGGATGGTAAGGATGTTCTGGAAGTACACCAATCGAGGCAATCCAGTACAGGTCAGGAAGGGTCGAGTGCCCCCTCAAACGATGAGAGCTCCCTAAGCCCAGAAGAGGAGGAATATTTCAGACAATATAGCGATATGTTAGCAGCTTATAAAGGTCAATGGACTGATATCGACTTGACTGGGAGTCTGGAACCGCCAAAAGATCTCTTCATTGATGTTAGGGTTCTGAAAGACGCTGGCGAGGTGCAGACGGAATACGGGTAATTTAGGGTCTTGGATGATTCTGAAATGGCAGGACTAATGACGGTTTCATAGGGCAATAAATCTGACGAAGAACAGTCAGTTTTATGTAAGGCACGGAGATGTTGAGCGGCTGATAGCCCAGGGATTTCTACAGCGCTTGAGTTAACTCGAATATTCAAGCTCCCAAGTTCTTCACATTGCTGGCTTACAGAATGTGTAGGATCTGGAAACAAAGAAGACCCTTTTAGAACGACTCTACGGGGATTTCTCCACGTCGCAATCCTAGGCACCGGCTGAGGTCGAGCACATTGAGAAACTTCGGAAGGAGTAGACAAAAATACCTCCAGCAGGGTGGGAAGTATCTACAGGAATAGAAGGCCTGGATGAGGCGATCCCAACGAATACCATACTCCGAAGGACGTCATAATCTCAAACCCCAGAACATCCTGAAAGTGACAATCTCCATGATGGGAATTGCTGCACTGGTTGCTGGTTGGCCAAGCTGAGGAGAGTGCGATCTGAAATCGAATTGCTGTCATATGACTACGCCTGTCCTGGCACAATTGGTCATATGTACTTAGGGACAGGCGAGAATGAGATAGAAGATGGAATACCTGATTGCTCAGTCAAAACAGCTTATTCGGTGTTTGGGCAAACTTCGACACACAATCAGAGGTACAATTCCCCAAAATCAAGATGACTGCCCTTTGGCGAGCACGTCCATGACCAGATGACGCCAAAATAATATCAATTTCCCGCTTCTCTCCCCCCCATCTACAAAATTGGTTGCCATTCAGACGATTAGCATATCGCCCACCCCTAAACCAAAGATACTCATGCACGGTCTTGGATCGGCGGCGTGGCAGTGTCTGCAGCCAATCAGACACAGGGAGCTCATTAAAAGGGTGGCGATGAAGGGTATCCATGGGTTGGGGTTGGAGTGGGGGTTCCACAAATGGCCCTGACTCAATGCTCGATCCAATACATATCTCCAATGAAATAGATTGCAGTATGCAGACAGTAGAAGCAAAGGGATACTCCGCACTCCCTGGCTGGGGCACATACGTAACCTCTACTGCGGTATCGGCATACGTCAAATCCGATCTTGCAGTGCAGAAGATGGCGTACTACGTAGTACAGCTCAATCTAGAAAATTCAAGAGGCTTTCAGCCTAAGCTTGATGACTTCTTTCGAGGTATTAAGCTATTCCCTGTTAGTTTCTTGGGCAAATGAAGCCGAAAATTACTACAAGGTGGTGTGCCTGTGGAGATAGCCATGCAGGTTACTCCGGACTGCTACGAAGCATGCACTGGCAGTACACCGGTAAAGGGAGCTCGAGAAGGGATGGTGTGCTCCCCACGTTGATCTCTCACAAGCGGAGCCGTATATCTGCTCTTGCTGCTTGGCAGTCCTATCAATAGCCGTGAACATAAAACAGTTCCACATATTGCTAAACATCCTTGATGATCATGTCCCACACTTGTGGCGAAACAAGCGCAATCATATTCCAGCACCCCAGAAATTAACACCTCAGTATATCCGTGATTTGTGGTTACAGCTTGTACTGAATGCGTAATGTATACCAAAAGAAGAACGGAAGACCCTGATGGAACTTTACCAGACACGATCCTTTTCGCAGTGATACTGAAAGGCACGGGGATAAGATAAGATAATAAAGGTGAAGTGAAGTTAAGTAAAAGACAACGAGCCCGTCCGAGGCTTGGGAGCACAAGACTTTTATGCATGCCTCGCTCTAGATTAGTGGCGGTAATCTCGGGAGAAATCGATTCAAGAAATTGGACGACCATAAAACCGAGCCGGGACCGTAAAAGATGAGAATGGGCATTTTCAAATACGGTCGGCTACTCCTGGCAACCAGCACCCTCGTTGTGCTACGTGAGACTCCATGGTAAATGGCCCGAAGGCCAAGTAAACAATTTGTGTCGCTCTTGGCATGTCACATATCAACAAAATCGATGAGGAAGACAGTAGAAATGATGACTTGCTATACATACCAGCTAATCTGTCGGGAGAAATCATGCAAAGAACGACACTAATTCTTCACGTGGGCCTCGACCCATCCTTCATAACACCACACCTGAGGTCATGCAGAAAGACTTTTTCGTGGCAAGTGGGGGGAACATTTGAAGACTCGCATGGACTTGCAGACTTAGTCGAGTACCGAAGGTGTGATCTCTGCGAAGAGCAATTCCCATGTAATGACTGCCAATAGCATTTGGCGGCTGGCTGCTCGTGCAGGGATACTCTTAATAGATGGAGATAGTTGTGGCAAGGTAAAAAGGCTTCGGGCCATTATCAAGTAGAGGGTCGATTGGGTGGCACAGTGGATAGTGGATGATGGATGATGGATGATGGATGACCCTCCCCCGACTCCTCGTGCGGGGCGGGAAGAGACACGTGAGGCAGAAAGAGGGAGGGAAGATATTCTCTCCCAGTCGGCCCATCTACCGATACCAATGTTACTACTAGGAGCTTTACCTGTTTGGTGATACCAGTGTTGTTTATTAAAAATTGATACGATTTGCTGACATGTACCTCCATCCATGTATCTCACATCTAGCACAGGGCCCGGCATCATTCACTGGGCCCCGCCATAGAACTGACAATGACCCTCTACTATGCCTTCTCCGCGCAGACCGCGTAGCACATCATTTCTATCAATCATGCGTTCCTCTCAGTCCTCTGCAGCTCAGGACCGAGGTCAAGCGGATGGTTTAAGTGACGAGAGCTCACTTCTAGCCCCGGACCGTCCCTCCACCGGACGTCGAGCTCGAACGAGCTCTTCCACCACTCAGGTTGTCGGATCGCCGTCAATTGCACAGAGAACTCCAACCAGGTCGTTCTATCACCGCTCCTTTCATGGCTCTATAGGTACGTATTAGTCTTTTTCACTGATACGGGCTGACTCTTGCCTGGAGACGCAGCTCAATATTCGTCATATGGCGTGCGAGAGCAGACCGCAGAACTAGCCTCACTCGCAATATCCGAATCTGTCCGGGAGAGTCCATCTTCATCAGATACCAAACAGCGTTCGATATCACACCCAGATACCATCATTCTTGACACAGAAGCATCTCAAGGCTCACCTGCCGAGCCCAGCACCCGTGCTCATGTACGTTCACGACCAGAGGCCATTGACGAGGTCTCTGAGCCGGTCTCCCCAGAGTCAAGTCGCGAGGCATCACCACCAGCACATTTCACCTCAGCATTGACTAAGATGATTCAGAAATCGCCGCCAGAGTTCTCCGTAGGAGTGAGGTACATGGGGAAGAGAGACTCGTTAACACACAATACCTCTTCAAGAAGAGAAGCTTTTGAGAGCGATACCACCATCACAGAAGAAACATCACTCCTGCCCAAAAGTCAGGATGAAATTTCGAAGAAGGTCGGATCTTATAAGGATCTGGAGAGTCAAAAACCCCACAGGCGACCTGTCAAGCACCAAATTCGTGCTACGGGTCAGCATGCCCTTAACAAGTCACGCTCCGCGGCTTATACAATTTTACATCCAAAAACGTGGGATATTGGAACGATATGGCAGGAGGGGTTTGTCCGACCTGTCAGCGTTCTACCGGCTGTTTTTCTCGGCCTTCTACTCAACATCTTGGACGCTCTCTCCTACGGGATGATATTGTTCCCCCTCGGTCAACCAGTATTTGCAGATATGGGCTCAGACGGTATTTCCATGTTTTATGTCAGCACAATAATTGCCCAGGTGGTTTTTTCCAGTGGGGGAAGTATTTTCAAGGGAGGCATCGGTTCTGAAATGATCGAGGTGGTCCCCTTTATGCACAAGATGGCCTTTACAATTCTAAATACGGTTGGTGAGGACAATCCGAAATCCGTTTTGGCAACAACCATCCTGTCCTATGCCCTAAGCTCAATGCTTACGGGCATTGTTTTCTTTCTCATGGGGGTATGCCGTCTGGGGTCCTTGATTGGGTTTTTTCCACGCCACATTCTCATTGGTTGCATAGGTGGAGTTGGGTGGTTTCTGGTTGTCACTGGTCTCGAGGTGTCTGCCAGGCTTGATGGCAACCTCAACTACGATTTCTCAACCCTACAAAAGCTCCTTCAACTCGACACCATTTTTCTGTGGGCAATCCCTTTCGTGCTTGCTGTCATCCTTATGGCCACACAGCGCTTTGTCAAATCTAACTTTCTTGTTGGTGGCTACTTCATCAGCGTTGCAATAATATTCTATTTTTTTAGGTTTGCTCTCGGCTTTCCGATTGAGATGCTTCGAGAGCACGGTTGGGTCTTCGACGCACCCCCTGCAGAAAACCCTTGGTATCATTTCTATACGCTTTACGACTTTCGAGCAGTGAACTGGGAGGCGCTCGCAGAAACAGTTCCCGCCATGTTTGCGCTTACCTTCTTCGGCATTCTCCATGTTCCGATCAATGTTCCCGCCTTAGCTATTTCTACAGGAGAGGACAGTTTAGACCTTGACAGAGAGCTTCTGGCTCATGGCGTTACCAACGCACTGTCGGGCTTCTTTGGCAGCATCCAGAATTACCTCGTGTACACAAATAGCTTACTCTTCATTGATAGTGGAGGAAGCTCGAGACTCGCAGGCCTCTTGCTTGCGGCAGCAACTGCTGGGGTCCTTTTCATGGGGCCTGTGCTTGTTGGATACATTCCCATCATGGTTGTCGGTGCTCTCATCTTCCTGCTCGGCATGGAGCTTATGATTGAGGCACTGATTGATACGTTTGGCAAAGTCCATCGGCTTGAGTACATCACTATTCTGATTATAGTGGTTACCATGGGCGCGTGGGATTTTGTGGTTGGCATCTTTGTTGGCATAGTGCTTGCCTGTGTCAACTTTGTCGTACAGACTTCTCGCAAAAGCGCAATTCGTGCTACATATTCGGGAGAAACCGCCAACTCGACGGTACGGCGACCTCCTGTTCAGCTCAGATTTTTAAAGGAAGCCGGCCAGCAGACACATGTCATCAAGCTTGCCGGCTTTCTCTTCTTCGGTACTATTGTCGGAGTCGAAAACAGAATTCGAGCTATGCTTGCAGAAGATGCTTTCCGACATCGCCCGATTCGCTATCTTATCCTTGATCTTGCACACATCAACGGCGTTGACTTTTCGGCCGCTGAAGCTTTCACCAGAATCAGTCGCTTGCTTAAAAAGCGAGGCGTGATTATGATTGTCAGTGGTGTCAGCGTCAATGGTGAGGTTGGGCAGAGCCTGAGTAGTGTCGGACTATTTAGCGAGGAGAACGAGGTTGAGCTGTTTGAGAATTTGAACCAGGCTCTGGAGTTTTGCGAGAATGAACTGCTCCAAGCATTTTACGAACGGCAAGCGCAATTACCTCCACACCATCGACACGCTCCTCCACCCTCTCCAAGTCAACAGCTTGATGTTCCTGTGGAGGGCAGACGTCCATCATTCCCTTCGGAGTTGATGTTCAGCTCACCGAGGAGGGACCATCTTCATCATGTTGCATCAACGACACTTAATGAGACTGTTTCCACCAAGTCACACTCGTGGCATAACTATAAACAGCCTCTACCACTACTGCTTCAGATATTCGAGGACCTTTCAGAACATGGCGAAGATTTCTGGTTTAAGGCAACCCGATTTTTTGAGAAAAAGCAGTTCCCTTCTGGTACGGTTTTATTTAACATAGGCGAACCTGCAAGTGGTTTCTACCTTCTAGAAGAGGGAATCCTACGTGCCGACTACAACTCCCCACAAGGCCAGTATTCAGAGCTCATTATGGCCGGACGTCCCTGTGGCGAACTACCATTCTTTTCAGAAACAAGTCGAACGGCGACGTTGACGGCTGAACGAGACTGTACCGTATGGGAGATGAGCGAGCAGAAATGGACAGAACTACAAAAAGCAGAGCCGGATGTGGCGAGTGAAATGCTCAAAATATGCTTGAAACTGACCAAGGAACGAATGGACGCTGTGCTTGGATACATCCTTACTGCTGCTGGCTGAGAGGTAGGAGCCACAGACTTCCCATTCATTTGTATTTGGTGCTCTTATGCGACTTTTGCGAGGCCTTGGAGGCGCTCTCAAAAACCAAAAGTTTGGCGATGTTATTGTGAAAAGTCAATTGTATAAAAATGATTTAGATATTGTGGGGAGTAATCTTTGGTCAATTTTGATATGGGTAAGCATCAACGGTCCATTCAGGGACATCACATGTCGAATTGCAACTCTCAGTGGTTCCACAATTAGACGAGCTCCACCTCTGGGACGCTTAAGCAGACGGGTTGACCAACTGCTACCAGCAGTGACTGTCGATGAACAGTGTGCCCTGACCACTTTAAATTAGCTAATTTACTAGTAGAATAATCTCCCGGAGCCTAACTGAGTCAATGCAGTGATGGACTCAATCTCAAAATCCATTGATGAACGCACTAATAGACGATGCAACATTAAGTGGCAGTCCAGGACTAAGGCAACTCCTTCAACAACCACAACAACCACAACAACATCGTCAGTGGGGTGTGTCTGATGTGGGAACTGGTAAGCGTGCATGACAAGAAAAACACGAGCTCCCAGCATCTCATACCGTTGCCCAATGGTGTCATAGATCAGCAGCTTGGACCAGATTTGTGCATGTGATGGTTGGGCAATGCAGGTTCCATTGGCAGATGGTCATGCGACCCCGTTGGAAACAACTCACCATGCGCTGGCCAGATTGCGTCTCGATTCTGGCTAGCAGCCACATGAATGCGGTAGGATCACTGCCAAACGGGAGAGTTGAGCGCAGAGAGCAGAGTAAAGGACGGCAGGGCAGAGCAGAGCTAGGCTAAGTAGAGCAGATAAGCGGGGTCCGTGTTACTGGATAAGTAGGAGGAGTAGCTTTCTGGGGGTTTGTTGTACCTGCAACATGCCTGTGTCAGGAGTTCCTCTGAAAGCCTCAAACACTATCGCTAGTTATAGGTTGTTGAAGTGACCTGCGCATTTGGCCCCCATAGCTAGGCATCGTATGTCACCACGTCCGGAGTACTTATTTATGCTTCTTCCACAACTGTCAGTCTGAAACGGACCAGCTCTAGTTACGGTTAAAATTTTCCACGCTATTGCTTGCCAAGTGGAAGTGATTTGCGGTTGTCTAGCCACTTTGTTTCTCAAATGCACAGGGAGGCCAGTCGTTGATAGTGACTTACTGCCAGTGGGCGACACGGGCTTCAGGGTATTACAAGCTCCAGACTTCGGGATGCGGCTGGTGGATCTCAGGGTTTGTTAGGGAATTTCATTGGCGCGTCCCTCCGGGCTAGTACTAGCGGCCTGCTATGTTTGAGCTGTCGGCCTCCCTTATTCACTTCAACTTTCAACAACACGTCTGCTGCTCGAGCACTGCTGAAATTTCCTTCCTACCCGTCTTGAAGCCTCTCTTGATCTCTACTTCTAGCCCCTCTTTTCAAGCTCCCAACATTCCACTTTCAAGCGGCAAGTACACATCTCGTATCATCGACACGTTCCTGCAAATTCCACGTCTCGTGCTTTCTGTGATCTCTGCACAAGCAAGTAACTGACTTCCTCGCCAGATTGAACTTTTTTTGCTATTCATCTCTTCCCCGTCCAGCTCATAATTGATATTATCGCCCTGTATCCACCTAGAGATGGCTGCCCCCGCTTTACCTACCGTCATGCCTCCCACCACTGGTGCCGTCGGTGGAACTGATTCCACTCCCGTGCCTTCCACCGCACCTGCTGCGGCTACCACTGAGCCTAACCCAGCCACCGACACCATCACCTCAGTCAGCGATACTGCTGCAGCTGCCACTCAGGACGAAACCGCTGGGAAGGGCGAAGCTAAGCTCGAAGGTGGCCCCGCAAGTGAGGGCATCTTGGGCTACAAGGGGCCCGGGCTGATCCAGTAAGCATCGCCTGCATCTATTCCTGACCTATTCTAATCACTCTTTTTCTTTCTGCAGGAGTCTCCGATTTTCGAAGCGTTTCTTCTGGTTTAGCGATGAAGCTTTTAAAACTGACACTCTGGACGCCTATCTCCGTGCAGAAAAGGCCGAGATTGCACATCCCAATGCTGCCTGGGCTCACGAGACTGGAAAGGGTCTTTTGTTCTTTGCTAAGCGGGCTGAGGACAAGGCAGCCCCAGCCGGCATCTTGAACTTGGTTGGTCGCTCCTAGTGCCCACCTTGACAAGAACTATTACTGACCAGGTTCGTCAGGCTGAGGTCGCCGATGTGACTAAGGAAGGCTCCAACGACTTTTCGTTCAAGCTCAACGGACACAAGCATGTTTTCCAAGCCGCGTCTCCAGCCGAGCGTTCCAGCTGGATTGCTGCGATTGAGGCGAAGGCCGCTGAGGGCAAAGGGCTGAAGGAAGGTATCCTGGGCAGTGAAGGATACCAAAAGCACTTTGAGAAATACAGTACGTCAATCTTCTTTCTATATTGATGCTCGTCATCCACGTACCCCGCAGAGGATTCTTGGCTAATGCAAAGCTAGACAAGCTTGGTGTTGGAGCCGCGACTACGGGCTCGTCGCTTCCTGGTCTTTCCAAGTCGAAAGAGAGAAAGGAGACATCCGCTCCTCCACGAAAATCTCTCGAGACCAAAGTCAAGGAGACTCTCAAAAAGGACAAAAAGGACAGGGTTGATACCAGCTCTGCTTCCTCCTCCGATGCTGAAAAGAAAGACAAGAAGTCCAAAAGCCGATCCCAATCTCGCAAACGTGCCAGCATCTTTGGCCTCCTCGGCAACAAAAAGGAAGAGCAGGAGGAGAAGAAAGATGTGAAGAAAGAGGAAAAGGCCGAGGAAAAGGCTGAGAAGGAGATGGCCAAGGAACATCACAAGCACGACAAAGAGGTTGCTAAAGAGGAGAAAAAGCAGGAAAAGGAGATTGTCAAGGAACACCACAAGGAGGAGAAGAAGCATGAAAAAGAAGTAACCAAGGAGGAGCAGAAGCTTGAGAAGGAACAGAAGCAGGCCGAGGCGCAAGCCACTCATCAGCCATCAGACATTGCTGAAGCCGGTGCTGCGACTGTTGCTGCGACTGTTGCTGCTGCTGGTAAGCAACCCCGGTACCAATGCGCTTGCAAGCAGAGCTAACCCTCTTATAGCCCCAGCCGCCATCACTACATCTCACGAGAAGAAGGCAGATGAAACAAAGCCAGAACTCTCGACCACCAGGGGCACCGAGAACCTTGAAAAGAACCGCGGCAAGCGCGGTTCAATCTTCGGTAATTTCTTCGGGGGCAGAAAAGACATTACAAGCCCAACAGCGGAAAAGACTCCAACCGATGGAGCTCTAGTCATTCCTACCAAGGACAGCGAGGTTGCACCTGTCTCCGAGACTGCTCCTAAGATCGATGAGCCAGCTCAAAGCAAGCCAATTGATGCTGCAGCAGTCACGGCACCAGTGGACTCGGCCATCGCAGCTCATGATGTACCTGCCAACAGCGTTCATGCTCAGACCACCACCGGAGCGCCTATCAAGAGCCCTACTACTCCATCGCACAAAGGTGGTGTGATGGGTTTCTTCAAGAGACAGGACTCGAAGCTTGAGGTGCGTCATTGACCCCTTTCTGATATCTATGACTACTAATGTCATGTAGCAGAAGAAGGAGGCAACGGCTGATGAACCAGTTTCAACAGCTACTGCCCTCGAGACGGGTGTCACCTCGGAATCTCCTGCCGCTGCCACTTCTGAGAGTAAGCCAACCTTGAAAGAGAAGCGCCGAACCTCTCTTTTCAATACCCTTGCTAGCAAGAAGGAAAAGTCCGAGTCCGAGGTGACTGAAGGCGAGACCAGGAAGTCACCGCTTCCCCAGAAGCTTGGTGGTCTATTCCGCAAACCCAGCAAGGCGGTGAAATCTGAACAGACACAAACCGAGCCCACCTCCGCTATCACCGAATCCGCTCCAATTGCAGAGAGCACGGAGGGTGATGCAGTATCTTCAGCAAAAGCCGAGCCCGCTTTGACCAATGGCATCACCCAGGCACCCACCGAGCCAGTCGATCGAGCTCCTGAGGCAGCCAGCGGTGCAACACCGACCGTCAAGGCTTCGGCATGAAGGTCCGAAGAGGTCGGAGTGACGACGCCACGAGCTTCCTTCCAAGCACTCAGAGCTGCCAGTCCAATCGAGCATGAGAAATGGTGGGACTCGGATTCGTACTCGCCAAAGCCCTCTCGTCTCTCTGGCCTCGCCACGGCTTGACTCGACAATGAACCACCGGTCGCATCGACAGCACCCATTTCCTACTACGCATTGCGATCGAACCCACTTCGGTCCTTGACTAGCAACTTTATCCGCTCAACCTCGCGAATCGATACCCCCTGCTTTTGTTTGTTCTAGATTGATATCTATGTCTTGCGCTGAGTCTGAGTCTGAGTCTTGCATTGTCGAATGGATACCCCGAGTGTGATTGCTGTCCCTTTCGAGACGATGCCTTTGCTTACTTTGTCCTTATGATACCCGTGCGGAATCTCTTATTGGAGGCTCTTGGTCACTCGATCGCCTGTAGGGCAGAATTGCGTATAATAGCTAATATGATCACTGGTTTCTCTGTATTCGGATGAGTCAATGTTTATTGGCTCGATCAATAGACAGCGTTTGCTTGTCCAATGGTGAACACGGGTGGGGGTACTGGACCTCAACTTGGTTCTGCTGGTGGTAGGAGAGGCTACCCGACTTTGCGACCATGTGTCTTCCATCTAAAGCATCTGAGTATCCGAATAGCCATTGTAGAAGTGCGGTCCGGCATTGACAGTACAGGAAGATGATGATATCGGGCCAAGTGCGCCGACCAAGCATCCCTATCTCGACTCGACCAGTGCCCGATTTGTAACGCGTTTGACGATCTTAGATAACGACTGCTGTGATGATTGCTGAAGCACAATCTGACATGGAATACCTGCAGTATGCTGCCAGCCAGGCATCATCATTTCTTTCCCAGAACATCTGAGGATCACAGGCACATTGAATAGCACCAGCCTCCTCGTCAACTCGGTTTCGGTGTCATCCCCAAAGAGACCCTCAGTTGAGACGGCCCAACCACATCCACAGCCATGGCGCCTGATTTCGCAAAGGCCATGTCCCTAATCGATGCCGCTCACGCCGAAGACCCCAACCGAGTTCCCGTCCAAACCGACACGGATAGATCCTCCTCCTCTCCCCTCGCCGCCG